ATTGTATTTGTCAAGCAAGTGCATAGTTTATATCTTGTGCCTGACTTACTTGTGATTGAACTTTTGAAGGGTACAATAAAATTGGGTAACCTTCCAATAATAAAATTTCAGAAGGAGAATTTGAAAATTAACTTACAGCATTGCTCTAGCACATGGGTGGGCAATTATTTCAGCTGGAGGACCGCTTAATGAGTTTCGGTGAGCTGTCAAAGGCTGCAAGGGTAGTTCCACCCCTTGAAAGGTGCCTCAGCCCCTAGTCACCAGCTTGGGACCTGAAGTCCTGCCTCCCCCTAACCTCTAATCCTTGCCACTAGAAGTTCCTCCCCTTGCCCCCCAGAAGTACTTTTTTGTGGAAGGGGGGGGCAGAGGGGGTTGTCATCTTGAAATCAGAAAAAAACAAAAACAAATCATGTACTAAATGTCAAACACCTACTATAGACATTGTTTAATTTTTTTACAAAAAATATTTTGTCATGATTTGTGGTTGCATAGTGTATGTGGAGATGATTGCTGTAAAAACTAAAAAATAAAGTTTTATTCGTATATTGTATTGGGGTGTGGTTGGGGTGTGTGTGTGTATGGTGGGCTATAGGAGTATGTGGGGGGGTTGTGAGGGGGTGTGCTTGTGTGTGGGGGGGACAATGGGATATGTTGAGGGATTGTATATGTGAGGGGGCTGTGTTGGCAGGGTGGCTTTGTGGGGTGAGTGAGAGTGGGAGGGTGTGGGAACCCCCCACACACTCCCCCCCATGGTGCACAGCCCCTACCGCCAACAGCAGCAGCAGGAGGCTGGTGCTCGGGGCCTGGAGAGGTGCTGTCTCCCAGAGGTGCATGGTTTCAGCCAACGCTGCACGTGGTGGCAAGGAGTATAGCCCAGCTGGAGCTCCATGCGGCACATATGCAGCTCCTGGCACTCATGCATCACTGGGGGAAGCCCCGCAGATTGGAACCAACTGCCTTCACCACTCCTTGCTATGCAGGTGTTAAGACTCCACTGGAAGTGGAGGGGAGCCCTGCCCCTTGCTTCCTGACTGAGTCCTGGGTGGGTTGGCCAAGCTGCACTCCTTGCTACCACGTGCAGTACTGGCTGGTGCCGCATGCCACCGGGTGGCAGTGCCTGTATGGACCCCAAGCACCAGCCCCTTACTGCTGCTGCTGGCAGTGGGATCTGTGCACCATGTGGGGGGTCCCCAGATCCCCAACCCTCGCTCACACCCGCACTCTGCCCAGCCAAGCGCCGCACTCCCACCTCCCCCATGGTCGCACACTCCACGCTGCTGCCAGCCCCACGCTTCTGTCCAGCTGCAGCTCCCCCTCTCCTCCCCCCGCTCCCACTGCTTCCCTACCTGGTACCCAGAGCAAGCAGGATGCCAAGGAAGCTGAGCAGGTCCCCCAGCTGCTGCAAACACTGTGTGTTGGCTAAGGCAGGACTTTCTGCCCATGAGGGTGGGGGCAAGGTGTGCAGGCTGGGCAGAAAGCTGGTCCAGTTAGTTGATTGCCTCCCACGGGCTGGATGAAATTGCCTGATGAGCTGGATCTGGTCCACGAGCTGTATTTTGCCCACCCCTGCTCTACCTGTTGGTTTATGCCTAGGTGCCACAAGGTATTCATGATGACTTTGTTGGTTTGTGACTGAAATATTACAAGTTGAACAAAGATATAACTTTTATATGCCATCTAAGAGCTCTTAGATATCCATATAAGATATTTAGAATGTAGAACTAAGATAACATATCACATCCCTTTCTTGGTACTCTTGCCAGCTTTGTGTGGTCATTTCACAGAAAATTTAATCGTGACAGCACATCACTAAGCTCATTCTTCTAATCTTTAGAAACATGAACAAGAATTGAACTAGTTAAAAATAATCATTTAAAACAAATTATAACCTTAGAATTGATAAATAGTTCTGCTTTAGTAAAGAGCCTATTCTTCCTCTGTCATTATTTAGGCTGACAAAAATAGGTAAATGGTTTGATGCAAGAAATAGAGCATTTCAAAGAAAATACTTCAGCCTTATCATTTAAATTTTTCCTATGAAGGACTTTGAAATATTACGTGTGAATGATACTTTATGGTGTTTCTACATTGCTAGAACTCAAAGCATGTGGGAAACTGTTGTGAAAAATAATAATCACATCACAAATTTCACAGATTCCTCAAGATTTTCACATTTAGAACCAGTTATTGGTCAAATCCTTATTACTAATAATAGTGCTGCAGATTTCAAGTGCCACTGAGACTTTGAAATCAATTAGATTACCTGATGAGGCTAGAAAATGTTGCCTTATTGTGAATGACACTTTATACAGAAGTATCTCAAAATGTTTCATGGTGAGTCATACCAAAATGGCCATCCATTATAATGTAATGATGATGCAGTTGATAGAAACTAATAAGAAAGAATGATACTGCAGAATTCCCTTCCAAGTTGCATTGAAAATCTACCCCACTTCGTACCAACTGCTTCTGGAAAACAAAAGGCATAGTTTTAATGTATTTGCAGAGTCTTTCTACAGTAATTTCCCATAGATATTTCCCTAATTTTCCAACTGAATTTGTAAGATAGTATCCTGTATTTCTCAGAAGTCTGTGCTATGTAAAGCTATGGTATCCTGCTTCTAGAAAAGTCATAGTTTCCCATAAAATGACTAAGCTGTCACACTCACTCTATAAATCTCTTCTGCAATAATCACATTTCAACATTCCTTGTGCAGGGTCTAATCCTGTTCCTACTGAGATTTCTGGTAAATCTCACAGTGCCTGCAATGGGACTAGGACTAGGACTAAACCTTACAACTAGAGGTACAGAATAACAAAGGCATTATTTTGAATTACAAATTTGCTATTAGAACATTTGTAATTCTCTTTGGTTTTCAGTTTAGTCCAAGGAAATTTGCACTGATATCTTCCAGTAATGTGACTTACTCAGTTTAGAGTGCCATAAACAAAGCAATAAAAATCAATGTCTGTCACTAGGAACGGCCTGAAGTGAAATGTTCTGCTTCATAGCTGCTTGGTAGAGGAACATTCCAAAGAGAACTGGGATCATTAGCAGTGGGCACATCTACATGTTCATTAATGTGTCTTAGATACTGCTCATTTAATTTAGTACTTGCTTAATACAGTACTAATTAAGTGAGCAGTGGCTAGAGTTACTGTGCAGTAGCACTGGAACATGGTTATTTTGTGATGCTTACTTCACATTAGCCTGATAACACTGTGCAGTAGGCTAACCGTTTTAACCACCACACAACTCATAGGTGACATGTAGGGGGCGTGCAGGGGTGCACATACACCCCCTGAGAGCGCTGGTGCCCCCACCCCCGAGAGCGAGTGCTCTCGGCTTAGGCAATGGGTAGCAGGGGCAGGCAGAGCACTGGTGCCCCCCTCAAGAAGTACCGCTGGCATTTCCAGGCTCAGCGTCTGTGGGGGGACCCCCGTCCGGTGCCGACACCACTACAGCCACCTGTGCACAGTGTCCGCTCAGCCTGCCCTTGCCACCAGCATGGCCACCTGTGGGCCTTCCCCACTTGCCGCCAACACGCCCCACCGCTGCCTGAAGGTGGTCTCTTTACACCCCCAGCCTCAGGAGGCACATGTTGCCTGTGACGCTACTGCACAGTGTTATTAGGCTAATGTGCAGTAAGCATCTTGTGTAGACACTCTTGGTTGCATATGTATGGTAGTATCAAAATTTGTTAATTATAGCATACATGCATGTAATAACAATTATGTCATAATACTATGCTGGTACTATATGATTGTGTAGGATGGGCCTGATCTTGTTCCTACTAGGAGTAATAACAAAGCTCCCACTGACTTTGTTGAAAATGGAATTAGACCTATTGAATGGCTAATATCTCATGTTGTGAATTTTTAATGTTTTACAGGAGGAAGGAGAAATAATCTCATAATGCCATCTGCCAGCTTTGAAGCTGAATGGAATGGACTATGTCAGTTATAGGGAGGGCTGTCTTTAAAGTGACTTTGCTGTTTATTGGTCTTATTCTGGCTTTCTGGTCGCTTGATAACAAACAATTCTTTGTGCAAAACTGCAGCATGTCAAATTTTAACAGGTTGGTAAAACTTAAGCATCCAGTTAATATACATTTGCTCTACACAGTATTTAAATGAAATGGCCACTTACATTTTTTCCTTCTTCAGGCTTTGGTTTTAGAGAAGTAGGGAGAGATATGTATTTGTGAACAGAGATGAACAGTAAGTTTGAGGTATAGGACTTCTGAAATAAGTAGTTTGTCTTTTCAGATAGATACTATGGTACTTGTAAACTTATAAAAGAAAATATACATTTGGTTTTTAATAAACTATACATAACCCACCCTCTTTAGTTAATAGGTGCACCCTGGGTAATGTCTGTGAACAATTACATCTTTTGTAATTAAACCACCTAAACATTCAATGTCAAACACCTGACTTCAAGCTTCCCAGGCAGGAAAGCAAAGAATGTTGAACAGGAGACCACGTACACTCCACACCTAAATCCAGACTTTGAGAGCCCAGTGAGGAAATTCCGACAGAAATATGAACTTGAACCAGCTAATACAGCATCCTAAGTAGGGAGAAAGTTTCGGATCAATTAGATTAAACCCATTGGTATATGTAAATTCAGTGTCAGACTATGAAGTCCCATAACAGTGGAGCTATACGGCAGGCCCAAAGAGGTAATAAAGCTTCTCTGTTCCAGATACAAGTTCATAGGTAAAACTGATTAGGGATTTTTTGATGTGCCGATTTTTTTTAATCAGAAAATTCCAGTGCATCAGAATTGAAACTGTTTTTCTTCCATGCAAAGGGAGGCCTTGGCAAATTTCCCCTTTCAAAACCTTTTTGGAAAATAGTTAAAAGTCACAAAAAAAATCCTTTTTTTGATATTTCAGAGTTAAAAAGGTAGATTTTTCATTGGTTCTAAAGGGATTTTTTTTTTTAATTAAAGTGATTTTTTTCAAAAAACCATTAAAAAAGTACAAAATGGAAGGGAAATGTTTCGGAATTACCAAACAAAACATTCTGATTGATCCAACTGAAAGTTTTAGGTACTTAGTTCATTAACATTTTCCATATTTCAGCTTTTTGTGTCTCCAAGTTTGTCTTGTAAAACTATTTCCTATCCAGCTCTCCCCTACTCTACTTCCTCCAAGAACACAAAATTAAATCTGGCCCTAATACATATCACATCTTCGTACCAAGACATTACTACTCCAGGTCTCCAGTCCCATGAGCGAAGATGATGCATTGGCACATGATTCTGTACTAGATAACACCAGATGCCTTTGACATGGTATTGTCTAACTTACATATGAATGTTGTGCTCTGTAGAGAAATGGGAAGGCTTCAAGGGAGTGCTGCTTGCCAACCCCTTTCCATATGATGACATTTCTTCCAAAGGGAACCCTAGATTCCATCATTATAAAGCACGGCTGCATCTCCCCATATGCTTAAATAACACAATTACTATTTCAATCTATTTTTAAAGCTTCTAGGTGGATATCTACACTTTATTTTCTAAACATAATAATGTTTTGGGTTGCTTTTATTAATGGAGATCCTGACAGGGCATTTGTACAGCTCGTTGACTATAGCTGCTAATGAATACAAAAGGAAAAACAAAGCCAGCTACTGACAGACAATATTAACTACTTTAATGTAAATTATTATTAGTTCTTGTCATCGTATATATGACACAGCATTAAACAACTCTTTTACTTGCGCAGGCATCTGAGCAATATTTTGTCTTCTATGTGTTTATGGCAGGCAGCATCTCTCAGATAGGGTATGACTATCCAGCAGCCCTCATTCAAGCAAGACTCTCATTGACTTCTGAGATAATTTTGTGTGCAGGACCAGTCCTTACTTTCTCTCCTACAGGTAGAGGATCTTGGGGTTTTCCTTTTGTTCATCACAGATATTTAGTTTTACCTTTCTGACTTCTTTCAGCACTTGTTGGCGAGGATGCTAACAGGCGGGCAAGTATTATCCTTGGGGGATAGTCACAGTAAATTGCAAGAAAAGTCATAGTCTGATCAGTAGTGGGGGATGCCAAGTCCATGAAACCATAGTGGAAAAATACTTAAATAGATCATGTTACTTCATGTGGCTTGCTTTAATTTGCAAGTATACTGTTCTCAGCCATATCCTACATATATTTAAAAGACCTGTTGTCGCCCCTGTAGATTCACTGCAGCAGCAAATAAAAGCGGGTACTGTGGGTCCTCTGATGTTCTTTCTAGAAAAGCAGCAAGAGCACAGCACTGCAGAGTTGCCTCAATAAAGCAATTAAGATAGCTTCCTGACTTCCTTCTCCAAACCAAGAAGAAGGTGGAAACAGTTACTGTTGTGTGACTAACTATTCGTGTCTGACTTCTCACAGTAGCCCTGGTAGTTTATACTTTAACTTGGCAGCTTTTTAAGGCTGTCAGTGAAATTATTTCAGCCGGTTACTATCACATTGCATGTGCAAAAATCCTGCAAGCTCATAACTCATATATTTTTTTAAATATAAATAGAATCTATGATTCCTGTGATAGCCATGATAAACAGCTCTAATTATCCCTGACTGGCAGAGTGGGTTTCATCAAAGCATGCACAATTATTATTTGTCTGACTGCAATGCCCATGAGCCCAAATAATGTCCTGAAACCACACTGTGCAAGCCACTATATGAAACATGGTCCCCGCAACAAACAGCTTACAGCTGAAGTCTAAAACAAGACATACATAGTAAAGAACAAAGAAACAATGAGTCAGTTCAATAGGCTGTAGTTGTAGCATATCATCAACTTGAATCTTTTTCAAGTTCTTTACAAGCATCAAAGCAAAAGAGAGTTTTAAGGAGGGATTTGAAGAAAGAAAAAGAGGTAGCCATGGACATTTGCAGGAAGCTCAAGCTAGCTATGAGCAGGAGCATGAGAGAAAGCATGAAAGTATTTGAAAATCTATGAAGTGGGTGATGGAAGCAGGGGATGAAGTGGGTGCCACAGGCTAATTAGAGGTGTGAACTGGTATCTTAGTACAGAATGAGAGACAGTAGACAGGAAGGGATAGACTGTGAAGGACTCTGAATATGAAGAACAGTAGCTCAAGTTTGATCATGGGCTTTTTTCGAGCGTCTCATCTTGTATATTTGTTTTGACCTCACATATTATTCTATTAACCTGACACCAGACAAATCTTAAGCCCTATCTATTCCAATTGAAGTCAGTAATAAAGCTTCAGTGGGAACAGGAGCAGGCCTTTAGTCTCAGCCACCTCTACTCAAATTGAGTAATGTTTTTCTTGTAAAGATCCACTCAGGACAAGTAATGATGGCAGACTTGGGCTTTTCATGCCAGGTGCAGATATTGGAGAGTCCTCCTCTACAGATATAGGATTTTTTTGGTTGGCTCGTTTTTGGTTTTCTGATTTATATTGTTTTCCAGATCTTCCTCTGCAGCTTTCTAATCATTGTTGTCAAATAAAATGTAAACTCCTGAAATTGTACATCCCCGAAAAATAAGAAAACAGACTTTCAGTCCAGCCTTGTGATGCATCTCATCTTCACTCAGTATTCCATAAAGGGTATTCATGATCATTCTCTCTGCCTTTTTAATGGTTTTTTTTTCCCCAGGCTACTGCTTCATGTCAGTTAATCTGTCAAAAAGGTCTATTTGCAGATTAACAGGTGAAATTCATCCAGAGGGCCAGCTCTTTTGGGGTTCATGTATGGTGCATAGGTCTTGAGCTGGGCTTCTGCATAGGAAAGAATTTGCCTTTTATAGTGCTGCAGCTAGACTATCTCAATTTGTCATAAGAGCCCCAAGTAATTGTTCTCTTTAGCCAAGTCCTAGTTACCTATATGACAGCCCATGCATGTACAAACTTCAGACTGAATAAGGCCAAGCAGATCACTCAACTGTCGCATTCGAGTCTTGATGCACACACTGGTTTGCAACTTGTAAAATTAAGTTAACTCTCTAAACAGATAGTTCCCTATAGTTATCTAAGGAGAATAAGATTTGGTAGAATCACTGATTTTAAAACTTCTATTGTTAAGTCTAAAGCTTAATACTGACTTACAGTTATAGTGATTTGTTTAATGATCATCTGTCGGTCACATTTTGCACTTTTATTTAAAGCATGTTGCATTAATTTATCATTTTAAAAAATAAAATACGACATACTGCATTTAGCATTTTGTTCCCTTTTCTCAGTCTGGATTTTTAGTGCTTCTAAAGGGAATAAAATAGTAATTTATGTCAAAGATGTAATGTTTAGTCTGAGAAATGAGGAATCCAACTATGCAGGTCTTTGTTTTCCTCCCAGGTATTATTTTGTACTTTATAAAAACAGCCCTATCTTCTAACAGCTCTCAGACTGTCATTTCTTATGTATGTCAACTTTTCCCCGCCAGAATGTGTCATACTTCTTCCAGGTCATTTATTCTGGGCATTTTTACATGGTTATAATTGTACTGTACATCTTGTAGCCCAGGGGATGATTAATACAGTCATTTAAGTTATATGTCTTTCTTAATAGCATGCACAATAGGCATGCGTCAATTTGCAGGGAAGGAACTTTTCAGCCTTTGGCTTGGGATTTCACCTCTACTTTCAGGATGCTTCACAGAGAGGCAGACATCTGGCATGGATGGGGTGAGGAAGCAGCAGATAGAATAAAAAATGAAATGGCAGTGTAGAGGAAGACACCCTTTATGTGGAGTCCCCTTTTTGGCTTGGAAGTTTGGAGACCCTCTCTCTTCTATTTCTGTGGGCATACAGAGGTAGATCAAATACTTCCTCTCTTCCCTTTGAGGGAAGATTTAGGATGAGATTCAGTCTTCATTCCTGCTACCCAGGGCAGTGACACCATCATATTTTAAGATTGAATGGCAAGAGAACTGTTTTTTTTTAATCTGACTGTAAAGAATCATGTACAGCCGTGGTATTGTGCAGTAACAACTATTTTTTCTATGACATTTTGCAGGTTGTGTCTGGGTGACAAGACAATCCTTTAAAAATGAAAAAGTTCACGCTCTTTGATTTTGTAAATGATAATTCACTGCAAATTGGAGAGACCTCATGGATACAGGATCTTCCTAAGGATGACGGTGAACTAGAAAGGCTTCTGAAGCTAAATGAACATGTGCTAGTAAACTGGCCTGTGGGAGAAAGAAAGACAGAGAATCATCTTGTTAAAGTTATATACATGAGTGGTGAGTGCAGCTACAAAGCATCCAGTTTATAAGAGATTTATTTCAATTGTGAGATCTCACTTGCTAACTTTTGCTAACTCCAAAAGTAGCATCATCTGCTTGGGCATTTTTTTCCTCCACTTCAGATGACCCTCAAGAGCTGGTTGAAATGATGCAAAAGATATTGCAGGCAGATGAAATCACAAAAATACAAGTGCTTGGAAAAGGCAAGAGAAAGAGGATTGAGATGATATTCTCAGAGAGTGAAGACAGTGACCTGGATAAAGAGCAGGTGCGTTATCAGTTTCTTTTTTGATACTGCTGTGCCTGTATTATAACAGACCAGGCGCGCGTGCACATGTGTGTGTGTGTTGGCCGTTGGGATCAAAGCAATCTTTTTATCGTGTCCTGGCTCAGTAACCCATCATGGTAATTGTTAACCTAGGCCCATATCTTCTCTCTATCCATATTAAAAGTTGTAGAACAATAAAAAGGTGTGTGATATCCTGCATCTTCCCCAATGAGAAATAGATGCAACAACTCTGTTAGGGACAGGGATCATGGCTTTTGACACTTGTGCTGAGGCAGTAGCAAATCCAGGAACAGGACAAGGGGCACTGCATCCCCCTGCTTTGGCTGTACTGGTCATGCACAGTAGGCTCTGAGCTCACTGCCTGGTCAGCATGAGCTCCTGCCAGAGCCCTGCATGAGTAGTGAGCTCTGAGCTCACCAGCTGAGCAAGACAGTCAGGCCAGTGCCCCTGCTTTCAGGTGAACACTGCTGCTGTTTGCCCTTTCTGTCCTTCCCCCTACCCACTGAATTCAGCAGCAGGGGAATGGAGGCAATGAGCATCGGTGGCAGCACTCACACCCTGGGCTCTGGAGCCATGCAAAAGCAGATGTTCTGGATAGACCCCAGGCTGAGCGCTCACTTGCAATACAGCCAAAGCAGGGGGCCATGCTGATGCCACTGCATCTCCTTTAAATTTGTCCCTGGGTTAAGGTCTGCAGTGCCAATGCTCAGAACACAGCACTCAGAAGTTCTGTTGGTCTCAGAACTAACAAAAGGATCCAAGCATTTTTTCTAATTTTTGTAAAGCCAAAACAAATGAATGTTTGTAGTGTGTACTGAAGTCTTATTATGGAACACACTGTGTAAGTTTAAAGGTATTGTTATGCTGTTGTTTTCAGGGGAAAATTATGAAGAGTATAAAAAGAAAGAAATCATTGCAGGCCTCTGCCTCTGCCAACATCCTGAGTCAGCTTGAAACATCTTTAATTAACAAGCAGGTAAGTATCTTAATTTAAGTATTTTTAGTCAGTAAGTAAAACACACCTAATGTTCATTTTTGTTAAGAATAATTTATTTTAAAATATAAGTACATGTAATGCTCATGAAAGATCCTGTTTTAGTAGAAAAGTATATAGTGCTTGAAAGATGTAAATAAATATATGCGGTAGGTACTGTTAGCACTTACTGTGTTAGTTTGTTTTGAGTATAAATATGATCAGTGTTCATCACAGTTGATTATAAAAGAGAATCCCATGCTTTAGCCAGGCTAATAATAGATGCTTTAATTTTCTGTTGTTGTTTCTTTAGGTAGCCCTATTTCTTTCTTTATTTTCAGAGAGAACCATATTCTGGAAATGCCTTTCTGTACAGTGAAAGCAGCAGTGATGATGAAGAACCCTTGTTTCAACTATCCAAAGTGGAACTGTGCGCCAAAATAAAAAGTCTAAAAAGGAAGTTGACAGACACAATGAGAGAAAACTGCCGTCTCAGGCAGTCATTGGTCATGCTTCAAGGTAAAGTTTGGGAAAAGATCACTTTTTGATGAAGAAAAGAGCTTTAAATGTATAAAGGCCCTTACTTTAAGAGAATTTTAAGGGAACTGTGGATGCTTAAGCACCTGTCAAGCTCAAACTTCAAATTAGCACAAGAGTCTAACAACACAGAGGCATGTAAAGCAGAAGGTAGGGCAGTGTGGAACCTGATTGCCTCATTCAAAGAGTCGTGAGCTTTTGCAAGCTAGTCTACTTTGTTAGATACTGTAAACAGACTTGGAGAGCTGGGGTACTAAACAGAAATAAATAAGATCATTTAAGGACAAACAGGGCACATCTACACAAGATGCTTACTGCGGAGTAGACTAATTAGCTCCACAGTAAATCTCTCATATCTACACGTGCAGGGCTATTAGGCTGGAGAAAACTAATACACTGTGCAGCAGGATACTACTTGTAAATGCAAGAGGGGAATAGGTTAAATTCTCTTAAACAGAGACCAAGACATCACAGAGTTTAAAGACAGAAAGGAACTTTTAAATTGCACAAATTATTCTGTATAGAACATTTCCATGTGCTTTCCATAGGCTAAAGTTGCATAACTCCAGCCAACTCCAGCAGTGACTCTACTGGTTAATTTAATTAAACTTATTTTTAGACAAGTGTTCTTGATAACTTAAGATATCCCCTGCTTAGCCCTGTATCTTGAATTCTAATTACTCTTTCTTGAATCAAATAATGTCTTACATTGATAACCCTTACCTAGTTCAGGGTGACAGCTTGTAGTTTTTTTTATCCAAGCTATTATACATTTGCTTCCTATAAATGTGAACTATTAGTCATTTTAGGGCCCTTTTCTGTATTCTCTTCTAATTAGTGTTTCTCTTGGTCTAAGGAAGCCAAGACTGGAAGCAGTAGTCAAAACCTGACTTGTGATTTGCTGTTGCAGGCTGACCCAGTTCACTGTGTACCTGCTTGTCTCTCCTTACCCCTATATTTCAGTCTTTTCCCACCCAACTTGTATTAGATTATTTTTATCCAAATCTACTAGTAGCATTTTTTCATGTTTAATCTGATTTTGATAATGCGTATCTAGTTCTTTCATATATCTAGGTCTGTTTTCATCTCGAGTGTTCCCATTTCCCCCTTGCTGTATCTTTTGCTATTAATTTAATTATTGTTCAGATGGCTTAATCTTTATCACTTAGTGTCTCATCTGATCAGGCCTTACCACTTTGCAGATTTGTACTGTTTTTGCAGGACTTGCATAAGTCTGTGAAAAGAAAATATTAACCAAATAGGGGGACATGTTATAAGACATCTACTCTGTAGATATCCAGAGGGCTAAATGCTGTCCAGACATAACAAGATCACTCCACTGAAGTGAATTAAATTGGACTTGTTTCCAGCCCTTTAGAATTTGGGCCATACTCATGCAGCACTTTGAGAAAAAGTGAAGTAGAAGAGAGACATCAACCATCTGAAGAGATTTGACTTAGCATGTTGCTAGTGCTAGAAACCTAATCTGTACTGTGGCCTTTTTGTTTTGTTCTTAGGGAAGTAAATGGTGGGAGAAAAATGAAACACAAACATTATCCTAATGGCACTGCTGGCCTAAAATGATACCAAACCTCTTGTTCTCTTGCTTACTCTAAGAGGAATTTGATTACAAAAGATGCATCAAGCTGATGTACAAATACATCCAAAGTAAATAAGCTTTAATGAGTATTCTTAATGATGACTGTCTTTCCAATTTCAGTGTTGCCACAGGCAGTAACACATTTTGAGGAACTGGTAGGTATGGCTGAGGCACTGCTTAAAGGAGGAGTGACCACATCTACATCCAGCCTTCATTCACAGACTGTCTGGAAAGCATCCAGCAATTCTTTAGCAGATTCATACACAACCATCCACAGTAACTCAAATTCACCAATAGCTTTAAATGTGGAGGACGAAGAGCAACAGACTGAGAAACAGGTTGGTTAAAAGCTTATTTCGGTAATAAGAATTAAATCAAACGATGTGTTACAAGCTTTATAAGTAATGTAAAGTAAGCATCAGGAGTAGGTATTTTATTGTTAGACCATATCTAGAAAAAATGAGGAACTTACTAATAAACTCCTCCTTTTGCATAAGAGGTTTCCTTAGACATACTTAACAAAATTCAGTCTTCATGTATGCTCCTGAGCTACCGCGACTTCAGTAGAGTTGTATGAATGTAACAGAGGGCAATGTGTGGATAACTGTAAAGAAAATACTGTTTCAACCCAAAAAATAAATGATGCCCTTGGGCATACATATGGAACTTCTATTGACTTAAGATATATAAAAGGAAAAAATGACTTTCAAATGACAGTTTGTTTTTTAAAGGCTGCAGCTTTCTTTCCAACCATAGAGAGAGAAGGGTGTCTTTCTGCCCTGTTACAGAGATTGGCCAGATGTCAGAGGGAATTATTCTTATCTTGCATTGAACCATGTCTCATATTCTCTACAATAACAATAGAGCATTATTGATAAGTCACAGGCAGAGTTTGTAAGAAAAATATCATTTTAAAGATTTAACTAAAAAGAATAACTCCAGTATCCTCTACATTTATAATTTACATGAGCATTTCTGTGTAATGAGTCGTCCTAGTTGGTACAAATCATCCATAAGGATTGTTAACTGCAAGCACAGAATTGGGGAAATCTATTAAGAATTATCCAGTAATGATGTTTTAACTGAATGAAACAACTATTGTGACAAAAATCAACCCTTGCTTCTCCAAGTCAACGCAGAGACTAATGTTTTTTTAACAGGTCCTAACCCTGCCTCTAGACCAATGGTCACTAACTAGTAGATATCGATACACCGGTAGATCTTGGAGCCTCTTGGAGTTGATCCAAGGCTGGGGTGGGGGGCTGAGTGCCCACGTGTATACACGCACGTACCCCAGCCCAGCAGATCAGTCCATGGGGGAAGAGAAGGGCCGGGGGCTAGATTGAGGCCCCCTTGGTGAGTAACAGTGCCGCAGAGGCAGGAGCAGGGGTACGTTGAGTGGTGCCCTGACTGGGTGGGACTTACCTGCTGGGGAGGCGCACCCCCAAATAATTTTTTCTCCCTCTGCCTTGATCTGCCCCCCCTTTCCTCCCCACAGACTTACCTGCTGGGTGGAGTGGGGGAAGCAGGGTGGCATCAGCACACAGTAAATCTTGGGTTGCTTTTAAATGCCAAAGGTGACTCCTACTTAAAAAGGATGGAGACCACTGCTTTAGACTGACTTAGCTCAAAGTTGCATGCCTAAGTTTTGGGGAACATTAATACATGGATTTCTATATGTAGTACATACATTATACATTTTATACCTTAGATTTCATGCCTAGATTTTGGAACTCTTTGAGCAGTAAAGGCTCCTATTGGTAAGCATGTACTGAAGCTAATATTTCAAGTGAAACTGCTGGGAGTGCTTGATAAAGTGTTCCCTAACATGAGTAGAGGTCCACAGTCTGGCCCTCGCATGCATCTGCAGGAAGCTATCTTGCATATGCAGTTCCAAAGTTTGAGGTTTGTACACCTTGGGCGTACATTTGTGAGCACACAACTGCAAAAGCTACTTTTGAAAAATGTGTTCAGAGATGTTAGGGGCTGAAAGGGACCTCTTGAGATCATCAGGTCCAGCCCCCCTACACTTGGGCAGAAGAGACTGCTGGGGCCAGATGACCCCAGCAAGGTGAGTGTCCAGAAGTTTTTTGAAGATATCCAGAGTAGGTGATTGTACCACCTTTGGGGAAAGTCTGTTTGAGACCCTGGACACTTGAGGATGTCCTTATTTATAATCTAAAGCAGTCTTCTAGCAATTTGTGACAGTTAGTTCTAGTCTTCCCCTAGGTAGCCCTGGTGAACAGATGTTCTCCCAGTCCTTGATGTGAGTCCCTTATGTACTTATAGGCTGCCGCTAAGTCCCCTCCAAGTCTTCTCTTCTCCAGGCTGAACAGACCCAAGTCTCTCAGCCTCTCACCATATGGCTACTCTCCATACTGCTAACCATACATATATCCTTTGGACTCCTTTGGACTCTCTTAAGCTTCTCTACATCTTTCCTGAAGTTTGATGCCCAGAACTGGACACTAGGGCTGTGCGAAGCTTTGGGTGGTGATTCAGTTTGAAGGAGATTTGGCCTGAGTCAGTGGCAGAATCTCCAAATCCAAATCAAATCAGGGGACTGTCATGAGATGGGGTCCTCAGGGCTGACAGTGATACCCCTAAGTCCCCTTGATCATTTCAGTCCAGCCCAACAGGCACCCTCTTTCTCACCTGCCATGTCTTTGCTCATAATTATGATATAGGGAGGCTGCCCTTGATCCTGTTGTCTGAACACAGTCCTGTGGGACCCCCCTGAACCTCGTGAGTTCTTGGAACTTGTTTTGGATCCTGCTCAAAACAGGTGCCTCTTGGGACACCCTCAGCCTTATGGGCTAGATGCGTGGCTTCAAAACCACCCCTTTACCATGCCCCAAACCTCACAGATGTCATACCAATGCTGTCTCCTTGAGTTGTGGCCTCAGCTTAGTCCAGCCTCTGCAACTGTGCCCCCTGGTGCTGGGATCTGCTCTCCCCCTTGTCACGGCACCCACACTGGTGCTGGGGTTTCCCACACTGTAGTGGGTTCCCAGTGAGGCCTCCTCCTTCCCCAACAGCCTCAGCATGATCCGCCGGTATTATAAAACAGCAAACAAAACATGAGCCCCTGGGCTACAACATAACACAAAAGTTCAGGGCGTGCTCTGCCCCTTTTAAAAGAATCCAACATCTTCCCTGGCACTGTCTAGTAGGCAAGGGTACCTCATTAGTCCTAAGTGCAGCATATCAGGTAGTTGTAGCGTCTCTGGGCGATTCCTCCCTGGAGGCTTCTTCCCCTTCAGCTGCTGGCAGGGAACTGAACTCCCTAGTCCCAGCCCGGGGTTATATAGCGCCCCCCCCCCCACCCCCCTCCCCCCACCTGACCAGGTGCAGGTGCAGGCTAATTTGCTCATTAGCCTTTTGCCATGGTAACCTGCAGCTGGGCTCCTGTCTGGCTCTTTGGGCTCTCTTCCCAGGCAATTTCTGCTCTTACAGGAGCAGGCACCTTAGTGCTCTGCGACAGGGACCAATTAAAAGGTCCGAATCGATTCAAAAGGTCTCCGAATCTTCAGAAAAGATTCGGAGAGCTTTGATGATTCAGGCAGTCCCTAATGGCTACAGCAGGGAACTGCAACCAGAATCCAGACTGGTAAGTACTAGGGGCTGGGAGAGGTGACCATGGGGGGACACCTTTCAGCCCCCAAGCCTCCCCCAGTTCCCCCTAGTCTCCCAGCCCCCCCACAGGTGCCCCACCCACTCCAGCTCCTGGCCCTTTAAAAAAAAGCCCCAACTCACCAGGTGCTGCTGGGCGGGGTGCGATCCCCACTAGCCCACACTGCATGGGGGGCTCTGCCACAAGCCTCCTGACCCTCCCCTTGCTCCTCCAGCCCCCTCACTGCTGCCCCACCCGTCCCAGCTCCAGCCCTTTAAGAAAAAAAAACAACGGAGAAAAGGCCCGGGACTCACCACTTCTGCAGTGGCCTCGGGGTTTTGCGGGGGTGTGGAAGAGCCCCCCATGTGATGCAGGGCAGTGGGGGGCAGCAGGGGTCACCCCTCGCCAGCAGGAACAGTGAGTGCAGGGGTTTTCATGGGTTTTTTTTCTTCTTAAAGGGCCGGAGCTGGCCCAGGCGGGGCACCCGTGGGGGGCAGCAAGGATTGCCACCCCACCCAACAGCACCCAGTGAGCTGGGGCTTTTTTTTTCAAAGTGCCAGGAGCTGGGGCAGGCAGGGCAGCCATTGCCCGGCTGGGAGAGCGGGTGGGGGATGGGCCTGGCTTGGATGATTCGGAGATCTGGCCAAATAGATTCAGGACAGTGATTCAAATCACCAAGCCTGTAAGCATGTTGTGGGTTGTTTCTCCCCACGTGGAGCACCTTACACTGATGATGTTCAACACTGAGCAGGTTTTGATATGCCCACCTTACAAGCCTATCCAGTATCCCCATCCTATCCTCCAGCTTGACCACAGTCCCCCATAATTTGGTGTAATCTGCTAACTTCGCCAGTCTGCTTTTACACCCAAATCCAAATAATTAATGAATATATTAAAAAGCACCTGTCCGAGTACTGAACCGTGAGGTGGCACTGGTCACCAAGCGCCATCTTGACTCAGTTCCATCTATTATTACGCTCTGGGTCCTGCCTTGGAGCCAGTTTCCTAGCCAGCAGACTGTTAAACAATATTTTTATAAGTGTTGCAAATAAAAATACAGAAACGTCCCTTTTAAAAAGAGTAGGGTTTCATATGATTGGTTTTTTTATAATGATTGGAACAGTCATGTCTATGACCAATTTTATTTTTCAGTTTAAAATTGAAAAATGGCAGATTGCCCTTTGTAATAAGAGCAAACCTCAGAAGTTTATAAATGATTTGATGCAAGCACTTTATACACATGAGTATATGGCCACGCACAGTCTAACAGGGGCAAAGTCCTCCTCTTCAAAGGATAAAGCAGCAAAACCAGCTATGAATCAGAATGAAGTTCAGGAAATAATAGGTAATCACTTGTTTACATAATTATATATATGGCACTGTGTTTTTTCTAGTTATTGTTTCAAGAAATATTAGGATTGAATATGCATTTGTATTTCTTTGTATATTTTCACAGTTTTAATCTAATTTTTGTTACAAATGCAGTTAGCAGAAAGCAAAATAATATCTGTTCCCAATATGTGGATTTTGCATCTTATTGATATTTACTTTTAAACATTTATGTGGCACAATAATGGGTGCTGCCAGAGAAGTCAAGGCATCTTAATATTGTTCTAGAAGTTTGAGCTCAAGTCTTACTCTGGACTTGGGTGAGAAGATGTCGCCAGTTTGCCCTAAGGAAGTTGTGGATCTCCTTCACTGGAGGTTTTCAAAAAGAGGCTGGATAGGCATGTATCTAGATTGGTCTAAAAAAAAAAATGGATTCTGCATTTGTGCAGGGGATTGGACTAAATGACCCTTGAGGTCCCTTCCAATCTTTTGATTCTATGAACAGAGGGAAAGAAATCATGTAAGGTCTGTTTTGTAGTTGTTGAATGTTATGAGTTTTGACATTTTTAAACTGTGCTTCAAGTGAAGTGAGAAGGGAGATGTGGAAGACACAGGAAAGACAGCAAGGCAAACGAAATGGATTTAAAGGTAGGAAATGCTCGCTGCACAAGAAAAGAGTAATTAATTCCAGGTGGAAAGAGTAACATGAAAAAAACCCAGAGGTCAGAGAGGAAGAGGAAGAGAGAAAACACCTAAACAGGAAAAGTAAGTAGAATGTAGGGAGAGTGAGAGGATTTGGAACTGGGCAGTCAGATATGAGACAGAACACCTCTGCACACAATTCCCTAAGCAAAGATGAGGATCTTGAAATGTATGCCAAAAGAGTCATGAGGCCAGTGAAAGGACTGAATGAGATGGTAATATATTTATCATGACAGAGTGGTAGTTGCCAAATGGCCTAGACTGCAGTAGGAAAAGATCAATTTGGAAGGGCAAAGAGAAGTTTACCATAGTTGGGGTGAGAGAAATATATGGCATGAACCAGCATTTTAAAAGCAAAGATGGAGAGGAAGGAGGTGAATGTTTGAAGGAATGATGACATAAAGAAAGTAGCTACTGTTAGGTGAGAAGTCAAAATCCCAAGGCTTGTTTGTTAGCATTTGTGGAGCTGTCAAAAATGAGAGAGGGAAAGTATTTAAAGAAGAATAGATTAGAAGTTCAGGATTTTTTTCCATGTTTAGTTTTTTAAAAGTGGTAGGACGTCTGTAATGTTGTATCAGAGAACTAGGAAGCCTGAACAGATAGGGTTGGTACATTCAATAGTCATTAGTAGGGGCAGGAAGTGCCAGTGAGTAAGGTGAAAAAAGAAAAGGGACAGACACCCCCTGCCCAAGAATTACTAGCAGAGAGTGGAAGGATAAGATAGAGGATATAACCAAAGGAAACACTGACAGACAAAAATGAGGCAAGAGCAACTAAACGCGTTCAAGAAGCAGTATGAAGGAACAGTGTGGTGGTTGATGGTGTTGAAGACAGCAAAGACTGAGCACTTGGAGAGGTGGGAGATTTGTAGAGTCAAAGTCGGCAGAAAGTCCATGGAGGAACTAAAGAAGTGTGGCCAGAGGCGATG